AAGATTATCATCATGACTGCTGGTGATGCTGAGGATGCGTCATGATGATTATCATCCGATTGCACATGCAAAAGATGCGTGGACATGCTTATCATGATGAATTTTGGTGATGCTCAGAATGCGTCGTGATGCTGATCTTCCGACTCGTCATCAATCTCGTCATCATCATCATCGTAGTCATCAGCATCTCTTTCTATTTCTACACTGTGCATTTCAAGTGTGGCATTAGAGAACATTGGCGATGCAGGGGATGCGTAGTCATGATTGTCATGATGACTGCTGACGATGCTGGGGATGCGTCATGATGATTATCATACGATTGCACATGCAAAAGATGCGTGGACATGCTTATCATGATGACTCCTGGTGATGCTCAGAATGCGTCATGACGCTGATCTTTTGAGTCGTCATCAATCTCGTCATCATTACGTAGTCATCAGCAACTCTTTCTATTTCTATACTATACATTTCAAGTGTGGCGTTAGGCACCGTTGGGGATGCAGAGGATGCGTAGTCATGATTATCATTATGACTGCTGGTGCGCCATGATGATTGTCACCCTATTTGAAATGCAAAAGATGCGTGGACACGCTTGTCATGATGGCTCCTGGTGATGCTCAGGATGCGTCATGGGGTGATCTTCCGACTCATCATCAATCTCGTCATCATCATCATCGTGGTCATCAGCATATCTTTCTATTTCTATACCATGCGTTTCAAGTGTGGCGTTAGACAGCATTGGTGCTGCAGAGGATGCGTCGTCATGATTATCATCATGACTGCTGGCGATGCTGAGGATGTTACCACGATGACTGCAGGCGGTGCTGCCCACACTGCCCACACACGAAACGGGGACTCCTTAGGTCTCCAGTGAAGTATCTGGGCACCATGGTAGTCATTTGAGGGCTTTGAGGAAGGTGTTTTTCTCCATTGGGGGGTTGGGGGTTCGTTGTATCCACGACCATATGGTGGATACAACGAAGGAAACGGTTGGAAGGCTTGTTGGCTCTCTGCGGGTGTGGAAACTGGTTGTGTGGGTCTCCAGTGGAGCATCTAGGGAATCATGGTGGTCATTTGCGGGCTGTAAGGAAAATGTTTTTCTCCATTGAGGAGGTGGAAGTTCGTTGTATCCACAACATGGTCGTGGATACAACGAAGCAAAATTCTCTCGTGATATCTTGCACTGCTCAAGCGGCACGCAAACCCATCTCTGTGCGCGGAGAGAACGGGAAACAACCAGACGCCTGAACAGATGAAACCACACCACCTGTCGACAATTGTCTTGCAACCTCCATCCAAGGAAGGGGGGCGGCGGCGCTAGGCGGCAGCCCTTAAGTCCGGCTACGCCTCCTGGGGTAGCATGTCGCCGCTGGGCAATTAGCCTGCTAGCCGCCGGCCCTCGTCACTTGGTCGTGATGCGTTGCCTAAATCCGGCACCTCTGCATCACCAGCTCGGGCTTGCGGTTTTGCCTGCCTGTGAAAAACCCTCGCAAAACATCGCGTGTGTGCAGGGTTTAGGCCATGTGGCTGACATCATCAAGGGTCCGGGGTTGGCTTGGTCTGCATCATCAAGACTTCCTTCCAAAAAGCCTCTCAACCCATGAAGCACTGTTTTTTAGAAGGTATAAGAGGGATATAAGCGAGGCTCATTTTCGCGCATTTTAGTGCCAAGCGCTGCCGGGCATGCGGCGATGCTGGGCCCTCGCTCTACAAAACGCTGTAAATACCGTCAAAAACTGCTGTGCTGAGCGGTGGGCTGTTGTTCTGTCCGTTTTGCTTGTGCTGTGGCTGGCTCGCGTGCTGCGCGGTCCTTGCTTTTTCCCTGTTAGTGAAGGCCTTGCTTGGATTGAACTTCCAGGCAGAAACAACCACCAGTATCTCATGTGTGTCACCTAACGTGACACCAGTTGCGCCATGAGTTTGCAAACGTTTGGAGCCCATCCACGAAACTGATCCATTGACCGGGATAGTGATGGTTCTCACCCAATTGAGGTCTGCCAAGAACTTAGCGTTTCTTCTCCTTCCGCGCGGGGCTTTGATCTTTGTACTCTCAGCCGGCGCTGCGTCCTTTGAGCTACCAGTGTCGTCTTTCTTCTTCTTAGGATGCGCTTTTCCTTCCTCATCCACACTACCGTATTTCGAATCATGGCCCTTTCGTCTAGTTTTCACCACGGAAACCATCTGTGCCCAGAAGACACGGTCTGCTAACCTTGCCGAGCTTGACCATCTTCCATAAATCATCTGTGTGTGACGCCATCCTTCGCTTTACCAAATAATACATGGGGTAGATCAGAAGTGTCCTCAACCGGCCCCTTGTCCTCCGAACCGCGGCTGGGTGACGTCGACGGTTCCTGCGATCACTGTCCTGGCTCTGCGTCCTGCGCTAGATCAGGTTCGTTAATCTTCGTCATCAGCAAGTCGATCACGGGCTTCAAGACCGGCGGCATCAACTCCGTCTTCGATCCCCTGTAACGTTTCATTGTCCTGTTTGTATTTCTCCTGACTCGGAAATGTGATGGGCATCTTGAGAACTATCCTCTCTGATTGGCGCGGTTGACGTAGTCGTGGTGGAAGCTTCGCACGCCTGACTGAGAGGTCTGCGCCAACGAAGCTCGTGAGAGCCCAGGCACGATACGTTCGGGCCATTTAATCCTGCGCTCAGGTTGTAAACTGCGGACACGCCGGTTTCGAACTTCTCCATCTTATTTCTTCTACTAGTAGCATCGCTCGTCTTGAAACCCACCAGTGCACCAGATGGTATCTTCTCACCCCTGAAGTGCTCTCCTCGCAGACAGAACCACGCGCTTGAACCATCCATCTCCTCAATGTTCATCATATGACATAGCGTAGTGGTAGCGTGTGCCCAATAGCGTGCGGGACGCCCTGCGTGTGCAAGACAAGCTGTGGTCTGATCCACGATGCACTGGCTCGCGCGTTTCGCAGGCGAGTTGTTCTGCTTCTTCAACTCTGAACAGGCATTGATGAACTGCGGCGCATCCTTGGAATACGCTTGCGTGATCTTCTTTCTACCCAAGAAACCTGGCGAAAGTTCTGCGCCTGCCACGAAATCTGCGCCGGACCTTGCGAAAGTGCTCCGCTTGCCACGGAATCTGCACATGACCTTGCCAAAGTGCTGCGCCTGCCGCGAAATCTGTACCAGACCTTGCGAAAGTGCTGCGCCTGCCACGAAATATGTACCTGGCCTTGCGAAAGTACTGCGCCTGCCACGAAATATGAATCTGCCTTGCCTTGCCAAAGCGCTGCCCCTGCCACGAAATCCACACCTCACCTTGCCAAAGGTCTGCTATATTCGACCTTGCCAAAGCGCTGCGCCTGCAACGAAATCCGCACCCGGCCTTGCGAAAGTGCTGCGCCTGCCACGCAACACAAACCTTGCGAAACCTGCGCGCTGCCATTACAGTAGGCCGGGCGCCGAGCCCGCGCCGCACCCGCACCAGACAGGCGTCGAGACAGAGGTGGTTGACATCGCCGCAGACCCGCCAAAACCCGCAGAGGGTCACTCTTTTTCGCGATTTCTATTCCCCCGCCACACGCCCGCACACGTTCTCCTATCCCCGCGCACACTCTCTTCTCTGCGTACGCTTTCTTTGAGCATGCGCTGTCTGATCTTCTTTTACTATCTGCAAGAGTTATCTTTTCGCACGCGCTCTCTGGTCTTCTCATTCTATCTATCTACGCAAGCTACCTTTCAATTAGTTTCCGTGCTACGGATATTCCTTCTAAACTTCCTTTGATAAATCGGAATGAACAATGCGCAATTGCTCGTTGTTCGCCGCCGGAGAGCCAGACACGGCTGATAATCTGCCAGGAAGCGGGCAGGTCACGATGTTGCTCCTCAGGGTGGCCAAGAACAAGCTTCCAGTGACAACCAACTGAGTCCGCGCAGTGAGCTGCAAAGCTGAGAAGTTGTGAGGCAATATATGCGGTTGGTAATATGCCCACGGCCACAATGGCGACTGCACTCTTTTACTACACTCTATGTCCACGCTCGGTAGTGATACTTCAGCCACTCGAGGCACTTGAGCCAAGCAAGGCGGCTGAACGCACACGGCTGCAGCAAAAAACACAGTTCGGGGCCATTGAGATCAGGGGAATAAACAAAGGATGACGCTCAGAACCAGTCCTCAGGAGTTTGGCCTGCGGCGGGTTTCTTAGCGTAGAAAACCGAGGGTCGTTTTCCATAGCTCCTACTTTTGCTGACGTAATTCAACAGCATGAAAACAAAACATAGAAGGCTTTTTTTCCATCTATGTGTTCAAAATAAACGAATCGAAACAAAGGGCCCAGGGTTGCGGGAAACTGGGTTTGGGAAGAAGAAGCCTACGAGAAGACACTACGTCCACTATTTGTGTTTCTCTTCGCCCTTGCGCAGAACCCTGCAAGTTTTGCCTCCTGCGTTCAAACCGCGGACGGAGGTCAACTAGGCCGCTAGCAGGGTCGCAACCCTCTAACATGGCCAGCAACGGCGCTCTTCGCCTGCTCAGCCTTGGAGCTTGTGCGGACAGGCGCGCGGCGCAGCGGCGGTAGAGGGGCATCCTGCGCATGGTGAAGAAACACTTCCGACCCCGCTAGAGAGCCGAGGTCGAAGCCCAGGATCAAGCCAACACTTGAGCCAAAATGGCCCCGAGCCTTCGGGGTGCCGAGGCATGACTGAGTATGACAACTGCAAACGGTACGTAACCCTATGACATCCAACTTTCACCACACAAGTATGGCCCGTATGGCCAACTTAAGAATGATTAGCGCTATTACTATAACATTGGCGGCAGCGGCCTGCCAGCCCTCAAACTCTACTCACCAGCCACGCGTCTGCAACAGGCGGATAGACTCCCAACTATCCAGCCCAAAAAAGCACAAAACGCGTTACTGCGCTTCCCACCACAACAAACACGCAGCCAAAACGACTTTGCCTGAGAGAGGGTGCTTGTGTTGAGGATGGGCTGGTGGACGTACCCACCGAAAGACCACACCCGTCCCACCTCGCAGAGCTCCTTGGAACGCATCTCGCCGCGCTCCATCCGTCGTTGCAGGTGTGGCCTCGCTACGCTGGCTTGATGGCATTGTGATGCAGCAAGAATCGTGCACGAGCGGCTTTGACCTGAAAAATGGTGATACATCAAACTTGGCAAGCAGGAATCTACCGTGGCCTGCTTGTTGAATAAACCTTGCATTTTGAGTTCCTCTGTTTGACACGGCAGAAGCTACTCTCGGCCCATCAACCGCCAGCAACGAGCCAACATCTGGGTCGAGTGCGCCAGTTTTGCCATCTGGCCCAGCGATTGCGCCTTCCAGTGGCAGCACTATGATGTGGATTGCCAGTATCACCATCATGTGTTGGCCCGTTTCAACGTGCCAGCGGCCTGGAAGCCCTTCAACTTCCCGTAAGGCTAACCTTCACTTGGAGCGAAGGCAGCCAATTCAATTCAAGTATTGGAACCTGCTGAACGCCTTGAGCAAATGCTGCCAGCCCCCAAAACAACGCACAAGCAAGCATTGCAAAGTAAATGCGCGCTGATTCAAAGCACCAGGATCTTGAGAAACTTGTCAGCCAGCGCAAACCCAATAAAGATATTAGTATCATCAATGTGTCAACTCACCATGTTATAGCTAGCCACATTACATTGAAGCCTGCTAGCGACATCTGTTGAGCGCAAAGACCTCCCATAATGGCAGGGTCACATATGGACTTGGGATCGTGCACAGGAGGTGAAGGGCCATCTGGGTGGTTCGCAACCATGTTGTGTCAATCTTGGTTCAAATTGAAGCCGTGGATATTGCAGCGGAGGTAACTTCAGATACCGCGGGCCTCCTCTATTCGCAAAGGTCTCTCCTGGACAATGACTACGGCAGCTGCGCAATCGTCAGACGTGTTGTCCTTCAAGACAAAGACTCTGCGTCCTTCTTCTTCACCTTGCACGAGGAGGATGATCGTGAAGCCTTCTTATCCGCATGATCCTGGGAGCTTGTCATAGCCGCACCGATAAAAGAAAAGCCGCAACGCAGCTGCGACAGCTAGGCAAGTGAATGCACAGGGAGGCAATCTTAGTGAGTACAATGCTTTGCAAACAGATTGCTAGAGGCAAGGCGTGCAAGTCTTTCGAAACGGCTCATGAGATCAAGCCGATCGGCTTGCAAGCCCCATCCTCAGTCTCTTCCTCGGAATCCATCCAAGCAAACTCCTCAGGGGCATCGACTGCCAGACCATGGATCGCCATTTGCAACGTGTCCCAATTCAGTCTCCAGCATACTGCGCGCGATTCACCGCCTTCTCCTTTTTCTCTTTGTGTCCCTGGCGCTTCTCTGTGCCTGCGGGTTTACAAACAGCTTTGCACGGGCCGAGCTGCATCAATGCGTCATTGAAAACTATGATTCACTGTCATTGAAAATCATCGCGGCGATCCACTTTAGTTTGACAAAAAAACCCAACCATCCCGCTGCTGCGTTGAGTGCTCCGTGCAAACATCATTGAAGTGATAACACCTAACAACAAGACGCTCCAGAGAAGTCGACGGCAACCAGCCTCGGTCACCCTGGTTTTCACCACACTGCCTCAAGCGGGTGGGATCGTACCTGTTGGTCGATCTGCATGTGTTCTCTGGAGTCGTTGTCGGTGTCTCTTAGACACCACTGACTCGAAAAGAGTACAACGCATAAAAAGGTAAGCAAATGCAAAAAGCATGCAAACCAAAATGTTGTAGAGCAAGGTATCGATAGGGAGTGGACGTTCTCCCGTCCGCTCGATTAATGCTGAATTCAGTGACCGATAGGTACTGGAGGCATGCAGTGAAAAGAAAGGTGAGGGGGGTGGGAATGAAAAGATCTTTTCGCCAAAACGGCGATCGGTGCATATGCATTTGTCTCATGCGTTGCGCAGCACTTGGCATTCCAATTCAAGTGCAAGTCGAGCCTTACTTTTAACACAGGTGTTAACCGCAACAACGAGACGCTCCAGAGAAGTCGACGGCAACCAGCCTCGGTCACTGTTTTTCACCACGCTGCCTCAAGCGGGAGGGGTCGTACCTGTTGGTCGATCTGCATGTATTCTCTGGAGTCGTTGTCGGCGTCTCTTAGACACCACTGACTCGAAAAGAGTACAACACATAAAAAGGTAAGCAAATGCCAAAAGCATGCAAACCAACATGTTGTACAGCAAGGTATTGAGAGGGAGTGGACGCTCTCCCGTCGTAGGTCAACTCCCGTCAAAGGTGAAGCCAAAGGCGAGCGACCAAGACAAAGAAGATGAAAATAGGGAAGGTCTCCTTACTGGTGCGTCCTGCTCTCACGGGACGTGGAAAGCCCTTGGCCACATTGTGTGATGTGGGGTTGGTGGAACTTTTGGAGTTCCGGCACTTCGTCGAATCCGACGTTGTGGGCATGATGCGGCACGTGCGTCTGTGCGACGCATGCATTGGTGGCTGCAAAATATGCCAGCCATGTTCATGAGCCAAGGACATATCATGGCGGCTGAATGGGTCAGGGCGTGTGTGTGTGTGTGTGCTCAGAGCTTGAGGCAGTGCGTCCCAGTCGAGGCGAGATATGATGCGGCCGTCGGCTGCGATGTCGTGGGACAGTGGCTGAAGTCTTCCAGCACATCTGCGTGTGGAACCACATTCTCAAGGAGGGTCAGAGTCTGGTTGGGCCATTGGTGGGTGATGTCGAACAGGCGTCCCTGGGATCCGGCGCGGCTTGATCCCGTAGTCTTTGCAGGGCGGTCCTCCCGCCACGAGGATGATGCGTCGTTCGACATTAGGGATCTCCCTGATGAGTGGATTTCGAAGGACTCGACGGAGCCCATGTGTGTTGTTGGGAAGGTGGGGTGTGGGAGACTGTTGCAGGCGTGTCACAGAAAGCAGTGTGAGACCGGGGCGCCAAGCTGATGCAGTGCCAAGGAAACGGCGCCGATGCCGTCAAAAAGAGAGATCAAAATGATGGCTGTGCGTTGCAAGAGTTGATTGGTAGGATGGAGGCAACGCGCCGGGTCGGCTCCCGGGAAATGATTCCCTGCTTTGTTGGTGTCTTTGCCGCCTTTCTTGCCCTTGCCGGATCGCTTCTTTCCTTTTTGTGCGTCGCCCTTGAAGGATGTCGGGAAGCGCGAGCTGTGTTGCTGGTTGTTGGGGGGCGAGAAGGGCATCGGGTTCCAAGACCCTTCCTGGCTTTGTTTGGACGCGTAGTTGTGCGTTGTGGCTCCTTTTCCGCCCCAGCCTTGCCCTTGGGCTGTCTCGGGGATGTGTATGCTGGGGTGGCTCGGCGCTGAAGTGTCCTGGGTTGCTGGCGTGGCGATTGGGTCAGGATGTCGTTCAGTGCGGTCGTATCTCCTTGGACGCTGCCACGAAGCTGGTCCCCGTCCGCATTTTCATCGCCAGCTGCCAGGTGAAGGTCTCCCACGCGTCTTTGACCTGCAGGAGTCGCTGCTGGAAGACGGGGTGTTGGTGTCCGCGGGTACTGTGGTCTGTGTGGCTCTGCAATGGACCCATGCTGCTGTGAGGGAGGCTGTGGTGCCGAAAACGAGGTCGTTGGACCTGAGGCGCAGGTGCCGAATGTCACGGCCGTGGTGAAGCGTGTGACCCAGGTACTGATGCCCTCTCCATCTGCATACATGTGGGCAAGCGCACCCACAGATCGGATGTCGCGGTAGTGTCGCATGTCCTCGTCTGCATCCATACCTGCCGCATCAATGATATCACTTAGGGAAGGTTCGGCCATTGCGGCCGGGGCCCAAAGCTATGGTCCGGCTGTTTATGCGGAGCCGGATCTCGCGGGATCGAAACTATTGGCATGCAACTGAGGGTACAATGAATGGTCAATTCAAACGTGGTGCGGGGAGGGTCACGTGTCAAGGGGGACATCAAAACTCACGGGGGGTTCAGCAATCGCGTGGCTTCTTTTGGCTGCTCAGCCCTCAAGGTCAGACAAATCATCGGTGTCTGCTTGGGCAGCGAACTTGAAGCACGATCCGCACAGGTTAGTCGTTGGTTTGGTCCGGATCTTCTTATCTCGGCCAGTCGCATATCTCCATCCGCATTGTGTGGTCCACATGGCAGAGTTGATGCAATCTTCGTCTGTGGCCGGCAGGTGTGCCTTGTTCGATTCAGTGTTGATGACCCAGAAAGTATTGTGCAGGAGGGTGATCTGTCGTTTGACGACGTCCTCGATCTGTTGGTGCAGTCCCAAGAGAGGCTAAAAGACTCTAATTTTCGCCTTCGCGAAAGAGACTCTAATGTATGTCGGGCTGTTTTGAATGTTCTCATGATTGCTGGTTTCGTGACATTTGCGACCGCGCGCGGGCCGCATTTGCATCGCGATGCCCCATAGAAAAGCAGTTCAGGGCAGCTTTGCCCTGGGCATGCGCCGGCTTCAACGTGTGATTACATGGCTCAAGACGCATTGGGTCAAAGGTCCGTTGCAACCCAAGACACATCCAGGTTAGTTGGCTGATTCGCTGCGCTTACCGAGTGTATGGCTGCGCGAACGGTCAATGTGAGTTCACCGTTAGCATGTGCGATCTGCCAAGAGGGATTCCGAAGGGTTCCCCTATATGTGCCAAGGGTTTGGAAACACATAACTGACCGTGCTTGCTTGCGCAGCGAGGCGATCTCACGGGGCCCGCAACGAGAAGGGGAAATTTTAAGTGTTCGAATTTTGTTTTGTTGCGTCGGGCTTGCCCAAGAAGACGTCAGTCCTTGTCACAGGGCCATTGCAGGAAAACACTTTCAGAACGGATCTACAAAGCCCCTAATATACGATGTATCTTTCTCTGCACTTGTGGGACGCAGAATGCTAGGGAACAGTATTGACAAGTCTGGACATTCAGTTGATCATGCTATTGGGCGGCGATTCGTCTCTCGACCTTGAAAAAGTGGCTTTCCAGGCATTTTATTTTCTCATGAGTTTTGCGCTTGCAGGATTCCACGTCGACTTGTGCGCATTTCACGGAATCCAGGTTTTTCGCAGCCATTGAGTGATTTCACGGCCAAAAGAAATCCTGACAGAACCCCACGCAGTCTGTCAGCCGGTGGTCAATTCAGACCTGCAAGGGCCTGCGCAGGACACGCGCGAGCGATTTTTTACGGCTCGCACGCCGCCGCCCCGCGTTCCGGAACGATGTTCTTGGCAAGATTACCTGCAATCAAAACCCGCAGAAGAAGCCAAACATAAAGAAAGCCGGGGTGCTCCTGGAAATCAATTTCCACTTCTTCGGGATGCCCGCAAGCACACCCTTAGTCAGCAGTGGCTTGCAGCGATCGTCCCAGGCGCGCTTCGCAAATTGCTGGTGTCAAGTTCACGTGGCTCTTGTGCCTCAAGCTCTCAAGTTTCAGAGGCCATCTCTGGGATTGTGGTTGGCCGATTTTGGGCGTGAACTCATGAAATTTCAGAACTGGCGCCCCCCGATTTTGTTTTTAGGCTTGTTGTGCTGGTTTTTTTTTTTTTGGGGGGGGTGCGTGAACTTGCGTGAAAAAGACTCTAAACTACGGTGTTTTGGCGTGAACTTGCGTGAACTTTCGTGAACCTTGGAATTCGCGGCCGATTTCCGGATATTCGCGGAATTGTGCGGCCATTTCTGCTCGCACCCATGGTTTCACCCATTTCGCGGCCATGTGTTAAAACGGCGCACGCCCCCGTAAAAGACGTTTGTTCGCATGTCCAAGTTAACCCTTTGAAGCCTTCCACTCTCTTACATTCACGCATCCGTGAGGGGTTTGGAGTTGAAACTTCGTGAGTTAAACCCGTCCAGCGTGCGAACCCTTGAAAACCTCAAATGGCCGTGAAACCCGTTTCTAGAGATGAATGATTGCCCAATCGTGAGCAAATGAATAATCACCGGGAATTGCGTAGCAATCCCTTGTTTTGAGCTGCGCCTTTTCGCAGAGTGAGAGTGGAAGGATTGGAGAAAGCGCCGACGGCCTGGGCGCTATCCAAGAAACAATGCGAGAGTTGTGATGGTTAGCGCCAAGAATCAAGTAACCTAAGCCTTCGCGAGTACTTGATGATAGTGGGAAAAGAGGAAACGCATTGAGGACAATTGCTGAAAATACAAAAGCATCTGGTGCCGAAACACTCCCAAAAGGCTGCGCCACTTGCGGGTTATAATCTAACGGCAAATAGGCGGGCGAGTTGCTTCAGAAATCTTTGGAATGTCCGCGCGCCATTCTTTCTTAGGATTGGGTCGGTTGATCCCAAGGCGCGCAAGCTATCAGGGCAGGTGTGCGAACTAACCTCCCTCCACCGCTCTCGCCCCCCCTCCCTCCTGCCTGTTCTCCTTTTTGTTGGCTGCCAAGGTCGCGCTTTAAAGGCATACTTGCGTCGCTCGCTTGCGCTCACAGCTTTGCACTCATGCAACTGAACTCGGCGCGCCCTATTCGACACTGCGTTCTCTACAAAGAAATAGATCCAGCTTGACAAGTGTTTGGCCTTGGAAATTGCATGACGTCATCTTGCGTCGGCGCAGCCGATTGCGGCCTAAACTGTCATTGCGCCGCGGCTCGGCTAAGATTTTTTGGAACCCAGCTGGCCCATCCATTACGCACAGCCGCCGAATAACGACCCTTTGGCGCAATCTGCAAGATCCCAAGAGTTTGCTACGCAAGCACAAAAGCGATACATTAGCGCCTCGGGCTCTAAACTATGTAGTTTAGTGTCTTTTAGCCTCTCTTGGTCCTTTGCCGGACGAAGGGATGACTGGTCTGTCGAGGTTGGATTCCTGTATGTAGCGGGCGACCGCCTCGGAGCCCCGTCGGCTGATAAGCTGAACTGAAACCGAGGCACCCAACGCTCGGCACACGTGTTCGTGGAATCGCTGACGAAGCTCCCCGCTCGAGTCTGGTCGGGTGAGGTTGGTGCCTGTCTGTTGGATGACGCGCCGGAAAAGCTTGATGACCGCTTGTTTGGGCCCCGTTGGGCCCGGGGAAGAGTGGGTAGTCGCCAGGCGGTGGTTGGCCGAGGTGTTTGTGCAAGCGTCGCATGTGTCGTTGGGCCGCGCGGCGAGGGCAAAGCCGAGACAGAGCCGGGCAGGTGCACGGGTGCGACCGTGTTACGCACATGCCCGTAATGTCGTTCTTCTGAATCGGCAAGGTGAGGTAGGCTCGGTGGCCCAGAGCTGTCTGTTGTGTCCGGACGGATGCCACCTCGAGGCCGCGGAGAAGCCACCAGCACAGCTAATGATGGGAACGTCCCTGGCGAGTCCAGCCGAGGAGTCGGAAGGGAATTGGTCCGCGGTCCGGAGTTCAAGTCTTTGAAAGGTGTGAGGCCCTGTGCTCGGCGGATGGACCTGCTCACATCTGCGATGGTCTGCTCAGCGTCTGCTGCTGGTTCTTCACCGGTGAGTTTCCGGTGTTCCTGTCTTGCTTGTGTGTAGTAGTTCTGGAAGTAGCGGCAGCGCCTTGAAGGACGCGCCGGTTGCTTTGACCAGGGTTACGGTGAGTGGTACCGGGTACCGGGGCCAAGTCCCATGAGGTCGCAATTTGGCACCAGTCTTCCAGCAGGCGGAGCGTGGATCTCGGCTGCATGGTGCGTGTGTTTCAGTGACTGCTCCTGCGGCAGGTGGATGGCGCGGTTGTCGGATTTGATGGTCTGTGCAGCAGCCGCTGGACCAGTTCGTGGTTGGCCGCCGTGCGTGTCGTGCTCGGCTGTCGTGGCACGGGTGTTGTGGAACGTGGCGGCTGCTGGCGCGGTGTGTGCGTCTTGTTGGTGTCATGTGTGGGTTGCTGCGCCGTGGCAGGCGGCCAGTTGCTGGGTCGCGCTGTGTCTCGGGATGATGCCGCCTCAGGGTTTGTGGGTGGCGAGACCGGTCGTGCGTAACCCGATTGCGTCCCTCGTCGTGGCCCAGGGCGTGTGGTCCCGGTTGCGATTGGCCGCCCAAGTGACTGGGGTCCGGTTGGTTGGAGGCACTGTGTTTGGTATGCGCATGGGGCCGGGCATCGGACGGCGGAATGGTGCGCGGGTGGATTCCACTTGCCGTACTGGTGTTCGCGAAGGCCTCCTGTCGGGTGACAAAGCGTCACTCGTGGGTGGTGGAGTCGTAGTGGACGCCGGCTCCGGCGTTAGGCTTGCAATGGTGGACAAACCGAAGCCAGGCCAGAAGGTCACCGTGCAGAGTAGAATCACTACGCACGTGCAGGCATGTGTCGCCGCAGTCACAAAATGCATCACGGCGTCGGCCCTGCTGACGGAGGTGGCGGTAGCAAATGTTGCCTCGGGGGGTCCAACGCCCCGATACGAACTCCGGGTGCAAGAAGCCACACGCGAAATCGGCGGTCGGCGAGCGGCCGGCCGCAGCTGGAGTGACGCACAAAGTGCGTGCAGACCTGGTTGCCCTGGAGAACGGTGCCCAGCGCCCACGCCAACAGCTTCAGGCAGTGCAGCGAGGTGTGCTTGAAGAGCATGGTACAGGTGCGCGTAGTCGGGATCGACTTCGGTCTTTTTCAAGAGTTGGTGCCGTTGCACGACGTCGCTGAAGCCCGAAGGTGCGGCGGCCATGGCTGGTGGTGCAGGGTTGTCAGGTCAGGAAAAATGACAGGATCTCTTCGCCAAAATGGCGATCGGTGCATGTGCATTTGTCTCATACGTTGCGCAGCATTTGGCATTCCGATTCAAGCGCAAGTTCAAGCCCTTTCGCTTGCAGTTGTTACTTTTAACACAGGCGTTAACCGCCACAAAGTTACTGCGCCGCAGACCGGCAAAGCACGCTTCAGAACTTCACATAACAGCGAGTTCAACTTCGATCCAACTGCAGCATACCAGGCACCGCCCGCCGCCTCGACTTCGGCTGCGGCTTGCGCCTTGTGCTGAACGGTGGCGCCATGTCAAAAGCAGTGTCACGTCAGGTGTTTCCGAGGCGCGTCTGCAGCAACACAATCACGTGAGGCAAGGTTTTCATATGTTTCTGGCTCCAAACAGCGATCCATCCCGAGTGCTGGATTCTGTCTATCCACAGTCACAAAGAATCCCTCCACAAGCGGGGCAAGCGCGGCCCTCCGTGAAAACTGTTTGATTGCTAAGCCTTTAAATAAGGTCTGAGTCGAGGGCGCTGATGCACCGTGCGCTTCCCATTGCTTCGGCTGCTGCCAACCTTATGGAACGCACGCAGGCAGACTGAGAAGTTGCTAATGGAATCGGGTTGATATGGTACGGCTGGCTGCGCACTACAGAGGTGAATCCAATCTCAACTGCTAAGCCGCTTACCAAAATCAACCGTCCTTCTGACACGCTCATCAAAGGGTCTTTGATGTCATTGACCCAATTTGCAGACTTGGAGTCTTTGCTGCAAGTGAGTTCAGCATTGCAATCTTGCCCCAGACATGTCACTCCAACCAACAGTCCCGTCCGTTGTCAACGGATTTCCCCACCCAACCTGTTTAGCGTACCTCAAAAGCTTGTCTAGCAGATCTCGCTCTCCTTGCCAAGCGACCGCCAGGCCACGCTTGGAACTCATGGCCACGCTTGCAGCTAGTCAATTTGGGCGTGGCAAGCACGTAGGTAGGCTGCATTGTCTGTACAACCCGTTGCCTCTCTCTCCTTATACGTTGCACCTCAAAGGCATACCGCGCGAACCCGGTGGGTGCACCCGCCATAGGCCCATGAGCAGCTGTGAATTTGTCTTGGCTAAATGTGCTGTATCCTGCTGCACTTTTGAAGCTGGGATCTGAACAACATAGTAGAGCTTAACTTGTGGCAGCTTCGATTGGACCATTCAGGGCCATGCTTATTCTTGGTAAGTCTGAGCCAGGTACATCAAACAAGCAAGGAAATAAACTCTATGGGGTTCCAGCATGGCCTAGCCTGCCTCAACATGATTCCAACACCGCCGCCTAGTTGGCGCCTAGGCTCAACCTGTCAGCAAACTAGGCCTGAAGCGCATTCCCGCATGAGTCCTTGAAGCACACCAAGCCCTGCGCGATGCGCTCTGCTTGGCACATGGCACTCGCTGGCCACCACAGCATAAAAGTGTCCCCCTCTTACCGAGCCTCCAAGTAGCAGCATTGCACTGCCAAGGTAGAGTTTGTGCGACATCGATACTGCTTTGCGCGATGAGCTTGTTTCATTCTGATTCAGCATTTCAATCCTGATGAGTATTGTTGCGTCAGTCCCCTGGATGAAGCAGATCCTTTTCTCAACGAGCCGCACTGGTGGCGCTTGCAAAGCTCAGAAACGGATTTGCCTGCTCCATCGTATTCCACTGAAAGTCTATTCCAAGCTGGCACCGCTTCCAAACCTCATTGCACTAATTCTTGCGGCGGTACTTCCGCAGATCGCTTTGGCCTCCTCAGCTGCAGAAATGGAGGTTTGGGCTAAGTTTAGTCATTTTCTGCGTCTGCGTGCTTCCTGCTTCACACCACACGAAAACTGCTCACTCAGTTGCACCCGCACCCATGTTGCCGAACACCTTTTAAAGGCTAACAAGGCACAAGCAGCAACGACACTCTGGTTTTCCTGGTTCCGTTGCACAGTTGTTGCGTTTGTCCTGACTGAAAGCCAAATCACACAATCTGCGGACTGTAGCCGCGCGTTTGTCCAATGCCCAAGCCCTGACACCGCTGTCCGAACGCTGAAGCAGTCTAGCCGTCAAGTCTGAGAGAAACAGGGACAGCGAGCCCCAAGCCAGAGCAAGCGGTGACATTCACAAGGCGCATAGTTGATTCAGGCTCTCTAGTTCGAATTTGTGCCTCTGGGCCACTCCACAACTTGCAGCCTCCTTGCATGAACCTGATGGCGAGCCCGCCATGTCGCATTTGCACGTCAGGTTTGAGGTGCGACCGAGCAACGGAAACCATTCTGGCATGGGCACTGCCACGTAAGCGCGAAGGCTTGCCCTCCGCAAATTATCAGCAGGAAGGAGAGCAAACACAATAATGAAACTAGTTTTCAACAATATGAAATGCAACTGCTCGATTGTGGAGGCCTATGGAAGTGCAACTTTACCAGCCCCCCCTGTAGATAGAGCAGCCACTCCGTTGCAAATTCTTCAATTCTTATTTGATCTAGCCTTGGCCTTCACATGATTCAGCCGTCGGCCAGTCCTGAGCAAACAGCGCTAGCGAATTGCATTTAGCTGTCTAGGGCCCAACCGCCGCCATGTCAGTCAAGATGAATTGACGCATTGATTTTGCGTCACAAGTCTTTGCTGCATGTGCTTGGTTGCAACTGTCACTCGCTGCCCTCTGGGTGGCAGCGTGCGCCGTGCTAAGCTCAGGTCTTTGGGTTGATGAAGCCATGCCTGCAGCTTGCAAATCGGACACTCGAACCGCGGTTGTTGGTCTTGTCACGGTTTCTCGCGAGGCTCGAAACCCTGCGCGAAAGGATCCTTTCACTCCATAGCGATCGCTGGTGCGACGCCAGCTCAGGCCGCTGCCCGAGCCAATGCACATAAGCGGGCAAAGCACGCCCTTGAAAGAGACTTGCGCTGCCAAAGTCGTTTTTTTGGCCTATCGTGTCTCAGGTCAGCGTGTTGCCCTGCGACATGACGCGGTCACGCAACGACTTTGCGTCCGTCGCCTGCAAGGTGCGACGCGCCGCCGGCTTCGGTGTAATCTGGAAGGAGCAGGACTTATCGTCAATACGAAAGGCAATTGGAAGCAAAAGTTTTTTCCCTAGCCATGCGTCCCTCCCACGTCTGCATTCAACGTGGCACCTAGGCGCTCCGCGCTTGGGCTCAAACTTGCCCTGGAAGCATAGGTTGGTGAAGTTGCTTGCAAGAACCTGTTAACTTTTGCAAGTTGAGCTGCTTAAGCGGCGGCTCAGCCGGAAAGCACGACATGCCAACAAGCGGCGCACGGCTGTGAAAACGTGTGCGGGCCATTCCTGGGGAGCCATTTGACAATATTTCACGCGGCCACGCTGCTCAACATCAGGGCAGATGGTTCTGCGTCGCCGCTCCCGTTTCCCACGGCCACTGCCAGCAGTTCGCGCCGCGACTTTGGTCTGTCGTTCTCCAGGATGAAAACCCTGTGCGGTTCGGGGTAGATCGGGGGAGCCGCGGGCTCCGGAGCAACAGCGCGCGCGTGCGCTGTGTAGGGTCGCCCTGCTTGCAGGCGCAGCGGAGCGAAAACGGCGCAAACTCTGTGTTCCAAGGCCTTTAAAGTTGGCACTCCATAAGCTTGGTCGTGGATGAAGCTCCCAGAAGCTCTGGGCCCCGTCGTCCTGAACTTCAAGCGCCCGAGCTACCTGTCGCAACGCGCCGAGCCTTCCGGAGAGACACCTGGCCGTTAAGCCGTTGGTTGTTGCGGCAATAGCCGTGAAGCGCCGAAAAAAGCATGAAGGACCATGAAAAACCGTCAAACGCGCGATCAATTTTGAAACGCAGGCTATGGTCGTGGAACTGGCAGCGGCCACGAGCAGCTATTTCCCCAGTCCTGGGAAACGTGGCCGTGTGAAATGCGGTTAAATGGTTTTCCAGGTTCTGATGAGTTTCGTCAAGAGAAGTTAATCGAGCTGAGAGAAAAATAAAGAAATTGCTGCGGATTGCATTGACAGGACGCGGCTATAGCGCAGCCTAACGTGCCCCTTGCGTGGGCCTGCAGGCAGCGCTACGGAGACGGGCGGACATGAGACAGAAATGGGAGGGGTGGGCTGCCTGGACGTCTATTCCGCGGACTTTGTCAAGCAAAAAAGGGTTGTTGGGAGGGTTCTGCGCAATTGGTCTTAAGGGTTCCTCGAAGCTGTGGCACAAACTCACCAAGTATCAAAACGGTTCCGCAGAACCTTTAACCGAAGTTCCGAACTTGAAACCACGGGCAATTTTGCCTAGCTCGCAAAAACTTGGTTGAAGTTCCGCGGAAATAGAGAATTGCGCTTAGTGCCAAAACCGTCTGAGGAAAGGTTCGCCAGACGCACAATCTGTCGGACCGACCGTCTTCAAGCGGGAACACAGCCAAGGAACTTCGGCTCATCACTCCCAACCGTTCTCTCACTCGATCTTGTCCTGCCAGGACGTCTTCGAATCAATGACAGCTGCCGTAGGGCGGGGGCCCAGGCGCAGGAGCCGCTCCAGCGCCGAGGGCAAGATCGACCAGTGGGACGAAGACAGCGAAAGCCTGAGCAGCTGCCTGCCTGCAAGACTCTTCAGACCGCACTGTCTCGCAGCTCAATTTGGGTTAAAACCTTGTTAAGTCCGCCTTGCCAGCTGGCAGACTCAGCTAAGTGCTTAAGCCGGGCACTTGGCAAAGTCTGCCAGCTGGCCAGGCGGACTTAGCAAAGTTATGACTCAAGTTAGAGCGAGTTATAACTCAGGTTGGCGGACTTGCAAGTGCCTCGCAACCCAGCCGAACACGTAAGACCGCTCTCACGTTCGTCACCCGCGAGCGTAGGCGCCGAAGAAGTCGGCGCTGTCTGATTGCTGAGTGCGTAGACGCTGCCTGACAGAGCGTTCGCCGCTGAAGACGAAGGAGTTCACAGACTGTGGGGCGCTGACGCGAGCAATTGTGCACCATCATCTGACGCCCCTGGCGCAACGGTGGGCTCCCCCACTGCGGCGGCGGCGCTGCAACTTGGGGCGCTGCTGCTGCGAAGGTTGTTTCGGAGCTTGCCTGATTCGTCTCATGGCATTGGATCCACTTCGGGGGTCTTGGAAGGCGGCAGCTCAAAGGTTAGAAGTTTTTCCGGACCACCGCCCGCCGCGCCGATTTCGGCGGCTTCTGCGCGACGCGGACGAAGTCGCATCTCCATCCAGCCGGCTGGTTCTCCGTGTGGCCCAAAGGAGCACACCTTCACTCAATGGCGATCGTCGACGCGACGCCAAGTTAAGGCAAACCACCCGCCTGAGCCAAATTGGTGGCAGCGTGAGGCTGCTCAAGCAGATGCGTGTGATCGGGCAACGCGTGCCCTTGAACGAGATTCAGTTGGCCTTGTACTTTGTCACAGTTGGCATTATGCGGGTCTGTGCTTGTTGCCGATAGCCTATTTGGCATGGCTCAGAGGCGCAATTTTGAGTGAGGCCACCTGTTTGCACACATGCCCATGTTGCCAAATCAGCCAAGAGGACACTGAGTGCCCCAGCTCTGCCCTTGAGCAGCTGCAGGCAGGCTTCCCGGAGAGCACCATTAAGCCTTAAGCGCTCGGTTCACTGGCAAATAGCACCATGACAAGAGCCCTTGGAAGCTCTCCAACATAGCGCAAAAGCCAAGTTTCCCTGCAGCGAAGGTGGCCTGCGCACACCTATCTTTTGTGCTTACTCAATGGCACTCCTTCTTCGCGACCCCTAGGCTCAGAAGTCCCAAGGCCCTAGCATTCGTTACCCCTCTCAGCTGCGGACATTTGAAGCAGAATTTTGTCTCGCAGTTTCGGCACATCATCTTGTGGCACTCGACCTTGCCAAAGTGGACATCAACATGGAGAACATAGAGAGCTTAGCGGGAACTAACCTTGCACTAACCCTGTGCTGCCCACATCAATGTCGTAGCTTCGTGGCTTCGCAGTAGAACAACGCACGTGATTTGAACTGACCTCCCTGCGGTTCGCGTTGCTTGCAGGATCTGCAGCCCGTCTCGTGCTTTCTTACCTCGTGATCCGTTGGTGACGTTTTTCAATTCTCCGAGTTGGCCACGTACTGCGTGTTCTGCTTCTCCAAGTTTTGCTTGGTAACCTTGGCCAACAGCGCTGGACACCGCACCCCAAAGTTGAAGCCAGCAGTTCTGCCAAGCCAGCAGCAATGGCATGACAGGTGGGGCACTGCTTGGCGCCAGCGCTTTCCTAAGTCAATAGGTGCGGGCAAGCAAAAAGGGCGGGCCTTAACCAAACCAACCGCACCCGCTGCAGTCCCCTGTCAGGTTTTGTTTGCTCAGGCGCACTCCTCGCTTCCCTCAGGAGCTGGCCATCCACCTCCGTAGCGCAGACTCCCCCGAGCCCCGCTTCGGACGAAGACGTGCGTTCTCCTGGCGCGGCAAAGCCGGAAGTTTTTTGAGCGGTACAGGTCTGACGCTTGAAAACGCATCAAATTTTTGGCGAGCTGCTGGAGTTGAACCGTACCAGCAGAAAGCAGTCGCCGCCTGAATCCAAAGATCCAGCACCCAACACGCCTCGCAGCTGCGCCCTCTGTGATAAGGCTGTGCTCCACCTGAATCGCCAAACACCAAGCAACCCAAGAATCATGGTGTCAGAGGGCTGGACGTGGACCGAGAACCCGCTTGCTATGAGCCGGGCGACACTCCAGCTGTCTGGATCCAAGTTTGGTTGGGTCGATTGTGAGCTTGCTATGGCGGCACCCACTGCCAAGGCAGAGATGTCAAGCAGAGATGTCAAGCTCCAGACAAAGCAGGCAGCATGTCTTCTTGCACTCCGGGCATCTCAATCGCGGGACGTCTCCGTCCTGCGTGGCACTACTGAAACAAGCGCGCATCAAAAGAGGCGCGAATAAAAGTACAATGGACAGGCTGGCGTCTAACCAACCAGCGCAGCATAGTCCTGCTGCGTTTTCAACTCTTTTAACTCAAAAGCAATCAACCTTGTCAGACACGAGCAGCACGGGTCTCGGGATGTTGAGCTATGAGTGCGGGGAAGCAACTGTATTTCACGATGCACTTGAAGGATTCCCAGCGCGCAGTACACAAAGTCTAAGGCAGGAAGTCACGGTGTCACATCAACACCTGCGCCGTAAGCACGTGTAATTCTGCTGCGAGTTTGGCGGCAAAACGTGAAGCCCGCAAAAACAAACAGGGCGCGTAGAGCTCAGACCGCAATCACGGAACTGGTAGTGAAAGATACTGAAGCCTGTAGCTGCTACAAGATGAGATAGCATGCGCCAACGTCAACAAGAAATCAGGGAGACCTCCCTCTTGGGACGGAATAATATATTGATACTACCCTCGCAAGAAGTGGCTGTAAAATTATTTTGCAGCCAGTCTGGCACGAACCTGCGCTGGCCATCGATTTGCAACAGTTATCACCAGAAAAAGCACCACTGAAGGACGCGTTGCCTAGCTCCTTTTGGTTTGGAGCGCCTCAAGCGGCCAAGTGGAAAAGGTTGGTCATACCGTCATACCTTTAGTTTCCCAAGAGCGAGTGACCAAGACGCTTGCTTCTGCAACTTCAAGCGTCGCGTCCGAAGTTGAAATGTCCTCCAAAGCAACGCGGAAGGCACAATTCGGCGTCGGACAGGCATAGAGGTCAGCAGCCTCAAGTTTGGCACAAAGCGCACGCTACTGAGGCACAAAAACCGGGCTTCAACGTGCGCAGGGAACTGGAAGAACCAAAGTAGAGACATTGGTGACCCTCCCTTGACAAGCAATATCTTTGTTAGTCAATGTGAGAAGCATTGCCCAAATCTATTCCGACTTCTGCCTGCCTACAGTTGTCTCACGCCAGTTGCGGGAGTGTGTCTTTTGGCGCATGAATGAGGTGCGTCTGTGTGTTTTTGCGCGCGTGCTTTTTTGTTGTGGACAGGTGGCTTGCTTAGGACGTTGGGGCTCTTTCGTTGGCCGCGCCTGGACAGACAGGCTCCGTCATGCGGACAGGGAAACATTTGAAAAGAGTGTGTGTTTGTGTTTGCTTGTGTGTGCTTGTGTGTTTGTGTGTGCTTGTGTGTGTTGGTGTGTGTGTGTGGGATTGTGCGTGTGTGCGCGTGTGCGTGCGTGCGTGGCATGTGTGTGTGTGTGAGTGTGTGTGTGTGTGAGAGTGAGAGTGAATGTGAGTGTGAGTGAGTGAGTGAGTGAGTGAGTGAGTGAGTGAGTGAGTGAGCGAGTGAGTGAGCCAGTGAGTGAGCCAGTGAGTGAGCCAGTGAGTGAGTGAGTGAGTGAGTGAGCGTGTGTGTGTGCAGTGAGCGTGTGTGTGTGCATGTGCGTGGGTGTGTGTGTGTGTGGGTGTGCGCGTGGGCGTGCGCGTAAGCGTGCGCGTGCGCGTTGTTGTGTGTGTTGCGTGCGCTGTGTGTGTTGCGTGTGGTGTGTGTTGCGTGCGTTGTGTGTGTGTTAAGCGCGCGCGTGCGCGCGCACGTGCGTGCGCGGGCGTGCGTGCGTGCGTGCGTGCGTGCGTGCGTGCGTGCGTGCGTGCGTGCGTGCGTGCGTGCGTGCGTGCGTGCGTGCGTGCGTCCGTCCGTGCGTGCGTGCGTGCGTGCGTGCGGTGTGTGTGTGTGTGGGTGTGCGTGCGTGTGTGCGTGTGCGTGTGCGTGGGGCGTGGGGCGTGGGGCGTGGGGCGTGGGGCGTGCGGCGTGCGGCGTGTGGCGTGTGGCGTGGGGCGTGCGAGGTGCGGCGTGCGGCGCGCGGCGCGCGGCGTGCGGCGTGTGGCATGTGGCGTGGCGTGTGCGTGTGCGTGTGCGTGTGCGTATGCGTGGGTGTGCGTGTGCGTGCGCGTGTGCGTGCGCGCGCGTGATTGCGTGCACGCGGGCGTGCGTGCGTGCGTGCGTGCGTGCGTGCGTGGGTGTGTGTGTGTGTGTGTCCGTGTTTGTGTTTGTGTTGTGTGTGCGCGTGTGTGTCCAACCCTGTAGCTAAGGGAAGCGACCTGTGGTTTCCATTTCCACTTTGCGAGTTGCAACCACCAGCAATTTTGAATTCGCTGGAACCCGTTGAAGTCAAGCTCATGATGATTTACAACCATTTGAGTTTCTGTGCCTGGAATTCGCTGGAACTCGTTGGAGTCACGCCAGCCCAGAGAGTTCCTGCAGTGGTCAAAAGCTGGCGTCTGATGAGTATGACTTTTAGGGGCCACGAGCAGCGAACCTCTGGCCAAACTCCAACTTCGCATCGTGCATGTCCTCCCAGATCAGCCTTTGCGGCGAACTACCTTCCTCCATAAAAATGGAAAAAAGAGAGGATCCGGAACAACTTGGAGGGGATAGAGCACAAGTGTGTTCATGCCGGTTGTTCGTTTAACGGCCCGGCATTGGTGGGGTCTGCCCACCCAGTGGGTGCGCCCACATGGGCTTGAATACTGATTGCCGTTTCGGCCCCTGAACACTGATTTCAGCCTCGCGGCTGTGTGTATTGATGTTGCCCTTCCACGGAGGGTCACCCTGATGCTGAGTCCCATGATGCGCTCAGATGCGACAAAACTCCAAACGAACTTTCTGCCATGTCTCGCTGGCAAGAGTTCGTCAAAGAATTGGGATCAGTCTTGGTCCAATGACGATTGGCGCGGTGATGGCCACCCGGCCCGCGCGACCCCTACTGACCTACCCCCGACAAGAGGCTTTATGCTCTACTTCAAACTCAGCCTCACCCACGCACTCAACGCGGGGAAGCCCCACCTTCACTGGAAATCTTTAATGCGGCCATGCACGTGGTAATTTTCCGCTCTCACCAATTTGGTTGCGCATGTCGATCCGGTAGGGACGTTTTCCAAGCCTTTGGACGCCATCGCAGCTTACCGGTTACTTGTGTTTCAGATTCGAGCTTCGACTCCCAAGTTTGAAGACCTGCAAACACTGCAGGGTCGAAAAAGCCTTCAAGCCATTCTGATGCAACGGTGGGGTTCAGTCCAAGACTCACATATGGCTGATGTCAGGCGCACCCTTCTTTCGTTATTTGGGTAATTCAAGCCCTGATGTGCCCATTGCCAAGGAGGTACTGGACAAGTTGCGTCACACCCTCATTACCTCCGGCATACGCATGGGCAAATGTAGAGCACGATTGCCACGTTTGGCTGTTTCCGCTTTGAGGTTTTCCAGACCCACTCACGCAACTGATCCCAAAGGCCTTCTGGGCATGATGTCAGTTAGGAAAGCACTCAGGCCTGCCACGGATCAAGTTGGCCTAGATCCATCCGCCAGCACTCGTTCAGTTGTTTTGCAAAGGTTTGTGACAAGCAACCTTGGTCGGATGACTGGAAACATTGGGTTTCTGGCACTTCCCACTCCACCAAGAACCAGGATGACGCGTTGCTGTTGGGGTTCTTGGAAACGGTCCACCGCAAGGCACCAAGTGCCAACACATCCCCACGAAAGCAACCTGACTAGGTTGCATCCCTTGGTGCGTTCGCCGGCTGCAGACCGGCGTTGGGCCGTCAGAGAGGCAGCCGCACGTTTGGACTGTGTGGCAATTTGCAGCAAGTCCCAGTTCAGCTATTTTAGCAGAGCTGACTCGCAACCAAGCTTTGGGACCTCCGCGCTCCCAATTCAGAACGATGACAACTGGGGCCGTTGGACCCCCACCGGCCCGCGCCACCGCCAGTTCCAGAATCGGTGATGCACCTGCTTTTTGTCTTGTTCTTCTTGTTCGGGCTCGGTTTTTGGTTTGTGTGTCTCTTTGTTTCTTTTGTGGGTTGCATTGCTGAGGCGTCCACCCTTGGGCCAAGATCCATTTGAGCAGTCCATAATTCAGCAGTCCATAATTCAATGTCATTGCCTTTTGACTCCGACACTTTCAGTGTAGAAAACCATTACGCATGCTGCCGACCACCTTGAGCTCCGAACACGCGGCGCTGATATGGTCCACGGTAGTTTCTGATATGGTTTCTGACATTGCATGTGATGCGCCGTGTGCAGTTTTCTTGTCTGCGGGCCCTTTGTTTTCCTGTTTTAGGACTCCCTCTGCGGTGGCTCCGATTGTTAGCTTTTCACTAATGATATGGAGCATCTTACGCCGATTGCCATGATGTCATTCAATGACTTGCGTTTAAGTTTGGCAAGCATTGTACAATTCAACAGGATTTGCTAAATCCGGCCTCGCTTGTAGTTCCTTTCTCGGTCAGGCGACTCGATTCCACCGCGCAATAAGGTGGTGCATGAGCCACGGAGTGTATTGGAGATGGCCCATATGTTTCTCTTGGTTCCCTTTCTTCTTGGTTGCTGGATTCCCTGCGCGTCTGCCCAAATGTTAGCTTTGAAACTAAGGGCCGGACGCTGACCACATGGATATCACCGGCAGCTTTAGCCTTCCGAGCTGCAGTCACCAGCGCGACCGGGCCCATTGGTGT